TTAGCGGGTTAAATGAAGCGTATAATAACAATAGTGATAATAAAACGTTGTTAGCAGGGATTAAATCAGGGAGAACCATCGCCAGCTCTGCATTCGTGGAGCGTTTCGGTCTTTCTCAGTTAATTGATTTGCTTAACGAAGCACGAACTTCGCTTTTAGTGCAGCTGCTGCCTTCAGAGAGACGCTGTGACGAAGCATTAAAAGGTAAACGACAAACACACGGGAGCCTTTAGCAGCTAAAGAACTGTACAGGATGATAACACACACCTCATAATGAAAGTCAGCTGACTTGTTCCCACAACTCGCTTTAAAATTAGAATTAATTCATTTATATTAAACATTTAAGTGTCAGGCGTTAGTTGGATGAGTTGTGTTCACATAGTAATTGCGTCAACTCAATATTATGTGTAAGTTAAACTCAAATTTGTTGCTTTTTGTTTGTTTGTTTCCAGGATTTAAATATTGTGTTCAAATACAAATAGTTCAGTTTTTTTGTTTTGTTTTGTTTTTGAAAGATTTATTTAGACGCTACTACATGAGCAAAACTTAATTTAAAAAAAAAATCATTAAATAGGTTGTAAATAAGACCGTCTTTGATTAAACAGAAAAGCTTAATTCCCTGAACTCACTATAGTTTGTTGGTGGAACATATTTCATAGGAGGTTGTCTTAACTCAAAAAGACTGATGCAAACTTATATTTTCAGCTGAAACTATTATTTTTTTAAAGGTTAAATCATCCAAAGTCATTTAATACAGCTTTAATGCTTTGTGTAGCTACACTCATGTGAAACGTATTGAGCTCATTTTATCCCGTAAATAGGAGTAAATTGTGCAATGATCAAACTTTTGGGAGCTTTAAAAACCTCTTGACTTTACTTATATACATTTTTTAAAACTTTTCTTGTCGTTGCAGCTCCATGCAGCTTTAAATGCAGCTTCCTTCGTGGATAAATAAACTTGTCATGAACCGACTGTCAGTAAATCCGGCAGCATCAGTGTCCACATGCAGCACATTTCAGAAAAATAAACCCTAAAATCACTCCATTCCTGTACAGCAGTATTTACAACAACAATAAATCCAGAACAAGAAAACTTTATTTTTTTTAAACGTCCAGTTGGAAAAATGTTTGGAGTGCACGTTTAAACTGACTCACTAAAAAGTCCTCAAACCGACTATTTATTTACACGTAGCGGCAGGAAGCTAACGTCACCGAACGCTGTTTACACGCGTGCTAACCGCGGCGCTAACACGTTAGCGAGGGTTAGCGTGACTCTGCTGGGACACATGGAGGCTGGTGGCTTCAGTTAAAGGGTCAGCTGACTTCTGGGACAGATTTATGGAAGCAAATAATTCACATTTTAAGATTCAAGGAACCGAATAACACACGGTGGAGTTTAATCGCTGCTGAATACGACACGTATGAGAGTGTTATTATTCAGAACTGTATTGCCGCTAATAGTTGCATCAATTCTAAGTTAAAGAGTATCTGCGCCTATCCTCCAGAATACTGAGATTTAAATCTATTAATGTTTTGTATGGATAAAAAACATTTCTTCAGCTGTTCTTTGTGTTGATTTTGTTGCTCTACCTTTCACTTTTAAACCCCCCCAAAGATGCTGTATTGTATTCAGGTCAGGCACTCGTCTCCTGTAGCACTCATGAAGCCCCATACCATGATGCTGCCACCTCCGTGCTTCACTGTCAGGACCATGCATCCACTGTGGTGGTCCTGGTTCAGGTTCACACCAAACATGCTGGACTCCATGTGAGCTAAACCAACTTATCTAGATCTCATTAATCTTCAACTTCCTCTATAAAAAAGATTCTGGTAGATTTATCTGTACCAACTGGACTTGCTTGAGTTCCATGAAGACGTTTCACCTCTCATCCAGGAGGCTTCATCAGCTCTGACTGATGGTGAAACGTCTTCAAGGAGCTCAAGCAAGTCCAGTTGCTACGATTAATCTACAGGAATAACCATGACCTGGATGACTGAGAATCTTCACAGACAGACTCAAAAGATGTTCTGTTGGATTGAACTCAGGCCACATGCGTGTCCAGGTCCTAGTTTAGAAACTCTTGTTTCCGGAAACTGAAATATTCCTCTTCTTCAAGCTTCTGTAGACTGAGAGTCCTCTGATATCCATGGTTCCATTTACAAATCTCATCCCTCTAACAGCCTTTTAACTCATGAAGCCCCATATCATTATGCTGCCACCTCCGTGCTTCACTGTCAGGACTATGCATCCACTGTGGTAGTCCTGGTTCAGGTTCACACCAAACATCTGGACTCCATCTGAGCTAAACCAATTTATCTTCATCTGACCAAAGAATATGTTTCCAACATTTATCAGGTTTCTTTTTATATTCTTGAGCAAAGTTTAATCGTGGAATAGGTTTGGTTTTGTTTTTTCTTCTTGGATGTTGTGATCTGTTCTTCAAACTGTCTGAGCTTCATGGAAGCTGTGGTTTCCATTGATAAGTAATGTTCCAAGTCTGAAGTCTGTTTTTCAGAGCTGGATTGTGAAAGTAGTTCACTGTCTGGAGTCGTTTTAGGAGGACGACCACTGCAGCCTGGATTAGAGGTGATCGTGGTCTACTTCTATACCTCCTGGTTACTGCTGCAGCTGTGTTTCCACTGACTTTTAGTTGATATTTCTGGATCTTTTGCAATCTTTGTGAAGTCTCATGATCCAGTTTTTCAGGAAATTCCTTTTCTTATGGAGCCATGATGCAGACATGAACATAGTCACAGCTCAAAGGTCCAAAAAGTTTTCGTTTTAGAATCATGTTCATGCAGTTAAACTGATTGGAAACCACCAGTGGACAGAATTTTGAGAGGAAACACTGTCCAGCTTAGAAATAATGCAGTGATTGAGAGGTGATGAGATTTTGACTTATTTCATGTGGATTTATTCAGTTCCTTATAACGTTAAAATCTTTGTTATTTGCTTCCATGTTAGTTCCCCAAAACGTGGTGTACTCCTCCACAAAACACCGCTAAAAATACTAGTTTTCAAAAAATGTAGTAGTTTTTTTGTTTGTTTTGAATCTTTTTACATCTGAAGATGACAACGATAACACCGACGATGATAAAAATATATCCTGATGATGTTACTGAATCTGACATGCTTCCATCAACACGTTTACACTAGAAGTGACTCAGTGCTGCTCGCCCTAATTTGTAATCGTTACGTTTGTTTTAAAAAAAGGAATGTGTCTACAAAATACTCTATATTACTTATAAAATGCTTTAATGAAATATATATATAATCCCCTGATGGATCGCTTTGTGTTAAAGAAGCATAAATGTGTACATGAGGTGTATTCAGTGCATCACGCGGTCAATGAACCTCCACCTGAGAATCGTCTGAACTGGACTGCATTGATGATTTGCTCAAGTTGGACTCTCAGAGTTCTTTTTTACTTTTTCAATTATTCCGCCTTTTTTAAGATTAAAAAGTGAACGCAAAACGTCTTTATTTTATCCCATTTTACACACAGACATGTCAAATGTTTAGTTTGGACGCCAGTGTAGACGTCGGTAAAGAAGAATTTCACTGTCTGCAGCCGTTTATAAAGCAAATCACGGGCTGTTTGTGCTTGTATTGGTTTGCTAAAGGCGGTTTTCCACTGCAGGAACTTGGGGCAGGTACAAAGTTGTGCTAAGGTTTGCGGGATCGGCCTTCTTAGTTTTTCTGTTTAGTTTGTTGTGGAGAATCCAACAGCTTGGACCACTACGATGACTCCAAGTCCAGCAAAACAAATAGTAGTTACTGGACATAACTCCAGTTCTATGAGCAGGTAGAACGATGGAGGTTTGTGTTGTTGATGGTGACGCTCCGAAGGAGACGACTGCTTCTCCACAAAAAATAATAATTGGTGCTTGTCCAACCAATCAGCGCCATTTTTTTACAAAACACCTCAAACTGGGTGCTTTGTCTCTGCTAAGAACAGCCCAGAAAGAGGTTCTAACAGACTGGAACATGCTCAAAGGAACACCGGTTGGTTGGTGGATTGGTTTATAGAAATACAATCGCAGTGGTCGTGGACGGCACTAAGCAAAGGATGTTCGGTGTTCCCTTAAAAACTAGTGACGGCTGGAAGTGTTTTGGTAGAACATTTGCATGCAAAGAGATTTTAAAATAAAGAATCCACGGAAACTACACGATCCAAATCTCTGCAAAACTTGAAATTTTCAAGTTGCTGCTCTGAGGTTGTTGTTGTAGTGAAGAAAACGGTCACGTTCAGGAAGGACGGATGAGGAATTGAGAAGCCAATGGCGCCAACGTTTTCTCAATTTGCAACGTAGAATCCAACAGTTTAAGCCACTGTGTTGACTGTACCTGCCCTACATTAGGTACTTTATGTGCGCTAAAATCAGCCCAAGAGTTGGTTCTACAGAGTAGCTCTTGCAGTCGGAACATGGCTGCACCTCGTATCTGCTATAGGTCTAAAAAAAAAAACCCACTCCAATCAAAAACAATCTCCAAGCTATCAAATAATGCGACTTCGGTGTTCCCTTCGAAAAGAGTGACAGATGGAATTGTTTCGGTGGAATATTTGCATGCAACGAGTCAAAAAATGTCCCTAGAATGGTTCATTTACAGCAATCCAAACTGGACGATCCACATCCATGCGTTGCCCAAAGTAAAGACAACAGCGACATGCCGATATTCAAAGGGAAGGACGAAAACACCTAAAGCAGGATTAAACCTGAGTCCTACATCCGGTTAGTCGGACTTAAGTCACCCCGAAACATCCCGAAGGTTCCTGCAGTGGAGATCCAGTCTGTTGTTTATAGTTGGAGCGTAAAAAAGCAGAAATCTATTTACATGAAACGTGCAAGAACTCCAAGAAACGTCCAGATCTTGTGGCCAACGAAGCAACGTATCCACAGGCGTGAGTTATCGTTTCATCAAAGCAGGTCTTCGGTTTTCCTTCGTTGGATTTCGGTGCTAATTACAAATTCATACTTGTTCCACAACTTGTTAATATTCACACGCTTTCCTGCTGTTGGTCGTTTCTTACGAGTCTGTCTGCGAAATTCACCGTAGTATCGTTGGGTCGATCCACCTTTTCTTCACCGGGCGCCGGGATGCTCTCAGCCGGATGATCAGTTTTCTTTCCGTTGATCTCCTGGTGACCGTCTCCGTTTTCCTTCCTCTCGGTGGCGGGTGTCAGGACGGTTCTCTTCACCTTTTCCTCGGTTCCGTTGCTTTTGTTCTGGGTGCAGCGGACGTCCCGGATGGTGCCGAAGCCGGTGTGGAGGGTCGACAGCGTCCTCTGGTTCCCCTCCAGCCTCTGGCAGCGGTAGAGGCCCCGGAACGCCGAGCGGAACTTCTGCGACATGGCGTTGTAGATCACTGGGTTGATGGCGCTGTTGGCGTAGATGCAGATCCGACAGAATAGCAGGAACCAGGCGTCCAGGTAAGGAGTGGACACGAAGGAGTTGATCAGAACCAGAGTCCGGTAGGGCATCCAGAGCAGAGCGAACAGGATCACCACCACGGCCAACATCTTGGTCACCTGGAGCGAAGATCAAAGAAACAGTTCAAACCACGTTAAAGCAGCTGATAACAAGTTTGTGTGAATAAAACTCTATTAAACCTACAGTCACACCAGATTTACACATTGTTTATTTTTCATGCTCATTTCGATGCCTTATGCAGACCATACAGTATATTCCAAACCAGATTACTTCACAAATCTTCCTCACACAGAGAAACCACTGGTATCATCTCAAAGCTCAAGTTCTGCTGTTTCATTTATTATGTGGTTCACTGCAAAACGAGCAGAACTTTGTGAATTATTCAGCCAAAAAGCAGAACTATTGTCTACCACCGGACCATCGTGGTGAAGAGAGAGCTGAGCAAGGGAGCAAAGCTCTCGATTTACTGGTCAATCTACGTTCCTACTCTCACCTATGGTCATGAGATCTGGGTAATGACCGAAAGAACGAGATCGCGGATACAAGCGGCCGAAATGAGTTTCCTCTGCAGGGTGGCCGGGCGCTCCCTTAGAGATAGGGTGAGGAGCTCAGTCATGCGGGAGGAGCTCGGAGTAGAGCCGCTGCTCCTCCGCATCGAAAGGAGCCAGTTGAGGTGGTTCGGGCATCTTTTCCGGATGCCTCCTGGACGCCTCCCTGGGGAGGTGTTCCAGGCGCGTCCCACCGGGAGGAGACCTCGGGGAAGACCCAGGACACGCTGGAGGGATTATGTCTCCCAGCTGGCCTGGGAACGCCTAGGGGTGCCCCCGGAAGAGCTGGAGGAGGTGTGTGCAGATCGGGAAGTCTGGGCGGCTTTGCTAAGGCTGCTGCCTCCGCGACCCGACTCCAGATAAGCGGGAGAAGATGGATGGATGGATATTGTCTACATAATTAAACACATGATTCTTTGTGATAAAGACAGAAAACTACAGAAGAAAATAGAAACGCATTGCAAAAAATAGCAATGATTTAATATATCCAAAGTAATCTGTAAAATAACAGCAAATTGTCTAAAAAAAAATTACATTTAAAACTGTTGAAAAAAAAAATGCTGTGCAGCTTGTTGTTCACATACAGTCTATGAAAATGTAAAACATTGAAGTAAGTTTCTTTTTTCTGTTATTTTAGTGTTTTTTTTGGACATTTGAAGCCTTTTTTGGACAGTTTTTATCATAAGAGACATGAAATAGGACTCACTGCTCGGTCTATACTCACCATAAACACTGTTTGTTCACTTTATGCAACACTTTCATCAAACATGAGTCTCTCTTATTGTTTCCTCACTGAAAACCACGTCCAGTATTCTCCTTTTGGTTCAGTTGTCCAGAGGTTCATCAGTACATTCTGTAGCATGTGATAAATTCAGGGCACAACACTTCCTAGATGTTGTGTGTGTGTTGTGTATTTTGTATTCCATTCATGACAAACGTTGGTCGACAAACACGCTGAGATTCAACAATCAACAAACAGCGAGCAGCTCGGAGCCCAACCTCGGATGCATCGCCCTGATTCATCATCATTTGCTGCGATTGTTGGTGATTATATGAGTCATTATTCGAGCCGACGACGCGTCAACAGGCTCCAGATTGTGTTAGAGCGAGTGTGACACGGCTAATTAATGCGTGGAGAGCAGCGGAGAGCCGCTTAACTGGAGCGCAACGCTTAATTGAGTCGTTTGAGAGGCGAAAAACAAAGCAGAGACCGAAAATGAAATAATGGAGAGAAGAAGCAGATGAGAAGGAACAGGTGCAGACTGAGTCGACCGACCAGCCAGCAGGATGAAGGAAATGGTATCAAACATATTGGAAAAGGCGTAAAAACTGTTTTTTACCCTCACTCTTCTTTAACAGTTTTCCGATATTTTACAGATTTTCCCTGTTTTGTTAAATTACAGAAAATATGTAGTAAAATCACAGAAGATAATAAGATGAAGTTTACATGTTGTCTGTAAAATTACTCTGTTTTGCTATATTTAAAATGGTAAAAACAACAGCAACACTATTTTACAGATATTTGCTGATTTTTTACAAGAAAAATTGTTAAACTCAAGACAACATCTAGTAAAAAAAAATAGTAAGAAACGCGAAACTATTATTTTACAGACATTTGACGTTCTATAAAATAAACTAAAAAGATGTATATTAAGGACTCGAACATGGCAGAAAACTTGTGATTGTGATTTTACAGATTTTTTTTTCTGTTTCTCCAATTAAAGATTTTAAATCACAGAAAAAAATTAGTTAACACATAAACTGCAAAAAAAGGAACAATATTGTAAATAACATCCCCATTATAATCCTGTACTTTTAGAAATATGAATTCTTCTTTTAAAACAATTGAACCAATTATTTTTTTATTTTTTTAACTGTATTTACAAAAAGATCCATATTTTACAGATATTAAAAAATGTACTGTTTGTACATTAAGTACTGAACTATACTATTTTTCTAAACTGTTATTTCACAGATTTTTCTTGTTTTGTTAAATTACACATGATAAATTGTAAAATCACAGGCGGGAAAAACAAAACTATTAATTCACACATTAACTGTAAAAAAAAAAAAATTTTAAAAGGTGAAAACTTTAATAGTAAAGTTTTCTTTTACAGTGTGTGACAGTAAAATGATAGTTTCACTATATTTAAATCAGTTTTTAGAGTTTCTGATGGTAAATGGTGTCATTTTAGTGATTTAGAAAAAGTAAGCAGAATAACGATAACATGCTTTTTGAATCTTCTGGGTTTCTGCTGTCCAGAGGGTTAAATATGAATAAAATAAATGGTGAACAGCACGTTGTCATTGTGCAGCTGCAGATCTGGAAAAAGCAAAAGACGATATTTTATTGGAGTATTTTGAATGTTTTCCAGTTATTTCATGTCTTAGGTTTGTTTTAAGGCTTTGAGGACAAATGATCCATAAACTCACAGAAACTTCGTCAACACGACTTTTTTAGTTTCATATTTTATGAGCAGCGTTGAAGCGATTCAAACTGTTTCCAGGTCCGACTGAGGAGGATAACCTTTGGAAGATGTACCGAAAAGTGAGTCGCTGTTAGGTTAAAACAAAGAAAGATTTTAGCATTTTGAATTTTTAACCGTAAAGAAAAAGACACACAAACTCTTACCTTCACACTGTGACTATTTTTGGGGGTATTTTATGTTTTATGTTACCTTTAAGGTGTTTTATAATCAACACTGTTATTTAAATCTGCTAATTTAACACTAGATAGAATAGAAACGATGCTTATTGTCGTTGTCAACAGCAGTGGAAGGCACTTCAGCAGCTCTTTGGATCGGCACCATCATAGAACAAAGAGCCCAGAGTCACTACGAGAACCAGAACAAAGATCAAAGACGATAAAAAAGTAGAAACATGAACATCACAGACGTCCAGCTTAAAGTGCTGCAGAGGAGGATGAAGGATGCCTCTTTGTGCGTCCAGCATCCCTCCATCCGTCCACACCCGCCTCCCCTCCCGCATCAGCACCACCCGGTCGCCATGGCAACGGCTCAGACATTTCTGAACCGTGGTGGCGCAGGTGGAGGGCCCGTTGGACTCCGGTGATTAGTCTTATCGGGGCTCCAATAAAGCTCCACGCCTTCACCCGCCTGGCCGGAGCGCAGCAGCAGCAGCAGTAGCAAAGAAATAAAAAGTAAAAAATAAAAGCTGTTGGAGCTGCAGGTGGATCCCAGGTATCACTCTCTTCACAGCTAAATGCTATTAGCGATAAGGCCGCGGGTCCTGGAGCGCTGATCCGGTGACAGGTAGATAAAGACGCAGCAGATCTGTGCACAACAAAGCGTTTAATTGAACACGAAGGAGGCGGGCGGAGAGCCTCCTAATCCGATAACGAGTCACGGCGTCGGGGTGGCGTCTCCGCTCTGCATCCCGCCGTGATTACGATGCTACAAACAAATGTTGTGTTCTGTGCTGACGGAGGAGGTTCAGCTCAGCTCGCCTCGAGGCCAAACGCTGGACCAGATCACAGGAACCGGCAGAGATTAGACTCCAGCCGCACTAATCTGCGAACACGAGTTTATCGGCTCCCATCAGATGGATCCGGACGATCAAACGTGGAGAGTCTGTTGAAGAAGTGAGCGGCACTCAGAGCACTTCAGCCTAAATCACATTATGCAAATCTGCTGCTCCGACATGAAGAACCTTGAAGCCAGATTAGGATCGGCTCAGTCTGGAGGAGGACACGAGGACGTTTGTAGGTGGAGAACCTCCACGAACCGAAGATCAGAACCACTGTGAAGGTCGATGGAAGGTTCACAGACGTCTAGAAGTTGCTCTCAAAGAAGAATCTTTGAGAGAAACAAAGATCCTTCCATTGTCTAGAACTTGTTCTGACCAACCACCATCACACATGATGATAGGAGCCTCCAATGTTTACCCAGAGGTTTAATCATTCTTGACAAATTTGGGGTGTTTTAGATGATTTTTGGCTCATTTTGGACAAATTGTGGACAATTTTTTAATCATTCTGGACAAATTTAAAGTAATTTTAGGCAAATTCTTTCATTTTTGAAAGGTTTTGAGCCATTTGTACAAGTTTAAGGTATTTTGGACAAATTGTAGGACATTGGACGTGTTTTTTGGAGTAATTTTGGCCAAACTGAAACCGAAACACATCCAGGGTACCAATGATTGTTTCTGTGACTCTATGTTATGGGCATTAGACTGCTGCAGTTTGATGATACATCCCATAATAGTCACTGGAAAGGTTGGATTGATGTCATTTTGGGCAAATTATGAGTCATTTTATAAGGTTTAGAGGCAAATTTGGGTACGTTAGAGGCATTTTAGACTGTTTCTGGTGCATTTTGGACAAATTCTGGGATGTTTTTGGACATTTTATTAATCATTATGGACAAATTCTAAGTTATTTTGGGCAAATTCTGTCATTTTTGAAAGGTTTTGAGGTCATTTTTTATAAGTTTAAGGTATTTGATGTATAAGAAAAACGTCTCCAAACTTCTCAAGTGCAAAACAAGTGAACTTTCTACCTTTTTATAATCATTTCTACACCACCACCGTTGTCTCCATGGTGCCACATCTAAATCTGTACATGTGAAATGTGTAAACAGTCTTTATCAATATGTTTAATCTACTGTTTTGTTCCTGTCTTGTTGTTTATTCTGCTTCGTTTTTATCTGGCTGCTGAAACACGTCAGGGATCAACACGTTTAATCTTTATTTTGCCTCAAAAGTGCCAATTTACTGCAGGTCTGAAGATAAATTAACGGGTCTCTGCTGCAGCTTCTCAAACATCTTTAAAGAACAAACCAAGCGAGCACACTACGGGTTTGAATCGACGAGGTCGCTGCTCTCAAGACCTGAGAGGACGAATGTGTTTTACATCTGAGAGACGAATCAGCTCTGCAGAGAAAAACCTGCAATCTGGAGCCTCTTCGGCTGCTCGGCCGGAGGAGGAGAAGCCATTAGAGCCGTGATTACAGCCGGCAAACAAGAATATCATCACCGGGCCGCTCACAGCCACTCGTGGCCTTGTTTTCCCAGAAGGCGACGCCGAGGTCAGATGTGACCGAAGCTATCGGCCGGCAATCAGCGCGCAGATGAGCCGGCGTGAAAAGAGGCGCAGACGAGGTTAATGTGGGGAGAAGGAGGTGAAGGAGCTCCGACCTGCTTCCTGGAGGACGCGGCGCTCTTCGGCCGACCCTGCCGGCCTCCTTTGGCGGCCTCGGGCGGCTCGCGGCAGCTCCGGCGCAGCGTGGTGGCGCCGCCGTCCGGCTGGTTGGGCAGCGGGCTGCAAGACAGCGACAGCACGGTTAGAGCAGCGGGAAGCCAACGATCGCATTGATTCCTTAATTAATTTAACACGCTGGGAGGTTTCAGCCTCATCGGACTGTTGGACCTTTAAATAGAAACCACCAATAAGGCTTCATGTTAGAGCTGAAAGTCTGATATCAAATGTTTGGTTTTTAGGAATACAAGAATTTACTGGATTCAGTCTCCAATCTCCTCAATCAGTCCAACAACTAACAGGACGTCTCTTTGGTTGACACTGGAGGCGATCACTTAAAATCCTTCTAACGTGGACCCAGCAGGTGATTTAAGCTTAAAATGCGTTCGCTGCCTGTTTTTATTTGAACCAACTGTCTTGTTTCGTCGGTATTTAACGTCTCAGATAAAGAGACTGAACATACGAAGCTACATGACTGTGTGTCGATGGGATAAAAACAAATTAAGTGATTCATTTACATTTGGAAGTTGGTGAACGTGAAAGAAAACGTTTGCAGGAACGTTAGTGTTAATCCTCTAGAGCCCAAAACCTGCTGGTGGCTTTGAAAGGCCTGTTAAACAGCTAAATGCATTTCTTAAAAGTCTGAAATATGCATCCCAGCATCCTGCCACAAAATGCCCGCTCCCTTTACAGCAAAGGATCAAGTTAAGGTTCGATATCAATCAGCTAAAAGATGCCTTGATCCCGATATTTAACTTACGATGAGGACATCTCCAGCTGACAGTGTTTGTTTGTGTAGACTGTCTGGAAAATATATATTTTAAACCTTAAAGTCACCAAACTTTTCATGTTAGGTCAACACTCTCTCTGTTCATCTACACAGGAGTCTGATCTAGAGGGTCTTAACAACCTGCTGTGTTACCAGGACGGCTTTGGGATGAATAATTAGAGCAGAACAAATAAAAAGGTGTCGGTTATTAATGTCGTTCATCTTGTGTGTAATGTTTCCTTGGAGGGGCGTTGCAGACATTAATATGGAGACGGAGAAATCCTGGTTCTGAAGCTCCAAACCCATCAGCTGAGGTTATTATCCGGCCGCCCTCCTGGTAAATGTGTTTGAAACCCCACGACTGCGGTTTGTGTTTCTGCCCGTCGGTACCTGAGGTAGAGTACTCGTGCGATGAGGCCGTACAGCACGATGGCGAGCAGCAGCGGGATGACGTAGAAGATGGCGAAGTCGATGAGGTAGATGGGCAGGTAGAGCTCTCGCTTCACTCTGTAGCCGCACTGCTGGTGTCCGTCCTCGCCGACCTGCACAGACACGACGGCGGTAATAACCGGGCGGCGGCATCTAATGATGTTCCCACATAATAACCCCACTCACAGGGATGGAACAGAGCTCTTTAAAAGCTCCTCTCGTTCCTGCAATTTAACCTGCGTTTGTACAGAGCAGCTCCTTGAAATCACAAACGTTCATGACTCACGTTGCTGCTGGAACACGGTGACGGCTGAGCGTCGTGTGAAGACATGAACAGATAGAAATACGAGACACTAAACAACCTGCGCTGTCGTTACGTCTGCTGTCAGTCTTCATGTCTCAAAACCTGAGCAAGAAAAAACGTCTCCTGAAGGTTATTGAGTCCATGCAGTCACTGCTGGTTAGCTGCATTTACCTGCTGAACCCTGCTAACAAGAACCTTCAGGGAACCTTCAGGGAATGTTCTCTGATGGCCAATTTGTGAAACCTCAACAGAACCTTCAGGAAGCATTCCCTGACGTTTTACTGAAGACTATTTTGTAAAACCTCACGAGAACCTTCAAGAAACCTTCAGGGAACAACCCCCGAAGGCTGTCTTGGAAAAACTTAAGGGCACCAATAGGCAACCTTCAGGGAACGTTCTCTGATGGTACATTTATAAAACTTCACGAGAACCTTCAGGAAACATTCCCTGACATTTTACTGAAGACCGATTTGTGAAACCTCAAGAGAACATTGAGGAAACCTTCAGGGAATGTACCCCGAAGGTTGTCTTGGGAAACCTTAAGGGTACCAACAGGCAACCTTCAGGGAACATTTCCTGAAGTTTCCCTGAGGATTATTTCATAAAGCCTTAAGAGAACCTTAAGTGTAAGTTCCCTGAAGTTTCACTATACGTCATGGTGTAAAACCTCAATAGAACTTCAGAGAACCTTCGTGAAACCCAAAAGGAATGTTGCCTGAATGTTGTTTTGTTAAAACTAATAAGATATTTCAGGGAACTTTTTGGGAACATTTCTCAAGATTTATTTTGTGACGCCTCAAGAAATCCTTCATGAAACCTGTCACGACACATTAATGGAAGGTTCTCTAAAGGTTATTTTGTGAATCCTCCAGAGGACCTTTAGGGAACCACCATGGAACCTTCATGGTAAGTTCCCTGAAGTGTCACTGAAGGTCATTTTGTGAAACCTGAAGACAACCTTAAGGGAACCTTCATGAAACCTTGGCAGAACATTCCTGTAAACTTACTTTGTAAAGCCTCCAGAGAAATATCAGGGAACCATCAGGGAACTTACCCTGAGGCTTCACTTGAGGTTTTTTAGTAAAACTCAAGAGAACCCTCAGGGAACCTTGAGGGAATGCTCCATGAAGGTTGCCTGAAAACTTCTAAAATGACAGTCGGGAAAGATTGGTGAGGTTACTTAATGAAACTTCAAGAGAACATTCAGGGAACGTTCACCAAAGGTTATTTAATAAAAACCCCAAGAGAACCTTTAGAAAACCTTCAGGCTATGTTCCCTGAAGTCTCACTTAAAGGTTATTTTCTGACCCCAGTCAACTATCAGAAAACCTTAACGAATGTTTTTAAATTTAAAAAAATGTTTAAATTTACATAAAATATTTCTGTTCCATCAGTGGCTTCAGTCAATGTGGAATAAAACCCACCTGGATGTCCACCAGGAAGAACCACAGCATGCAGTAGACGCAGGTGAAGATCCAAACGCCGGTGATGATCCGTTTGGCCCGCGACACCGTGCAGACCGTCTGAGCCTTCATGGGATGGCAGATAGCGATGTACCTGCACACGGAGGGAACGTACGGGTCAGACGGGCGGCGAATTTTAAGATTTTAATTAAGCAGATATCACTCAGAGGTCAACACAATGCTCAGACTCTAATATGCAGCCGTGGCGTTCATTACTCATGCATGCAGGCGGCACGAAAGCTGAAAGAGCACGCAGAGGTCGGAATATTAATGCGGCTCTTCGTGAGACAAGAACGACGGACGGATTCCATACGTGAGGAATGTGAGGAGCCATAATTAGCGCAGAGTTTCATCGCTTATTCATACTGAACCCTTCACATCCTGGAAACCTGTGCAGCAGGATTCATAGAAGAACGTTCAAACAAAAAGGAGAAATGTTCCGCCTTCAATAAATCACACAGCAGAAATGTTAAGAATGTTCCTCCTTTGTTATCACAGAACATTGTGAGAATGTTTTATAGAAGAAGAATGTGTTCCCTCTGCAACATTCTCAAAACATTGCAGGCAAATTGTTCCAACTTTTGTTTATATGTTGCAGTAAAGGAACGTCGTATAAAGAACCTTTTGTCATCTCATTTGAAAACAGCTTCTAAATGCTGCATTGAGAACATCCGTCTTTAATGATAAATCTGGGAACTGTTTTATAGAAAAATGTTCTACAATGTGTTCCTCAGTAACATCCCTAAAACATTTACAGAACATCAACAGCATTAAAATATTTGTTGATGTGCCACATTGCAGGAACTTTATAAAAAGTTCTATATAGATAAAACGCTCTATCATCGAAGGACTAAACAACATCAGGAAAACATTTTTGGAAGGTTCGTTTGAGAACATTCTTCCTTTGTTGTTGTTGTGGAACATTGTGAGAAAGTTTTGCACAAGAACGTGCGATAATGCGTTCCCTCAGACACATCTCCTAAACATCTTCAGAATGTTTGCTAAATGTTGCATTAAGAACATCCCTACTTTGTTATTATTGAGAATTTAATTTGCAGAATAATGTTCTATACTGTGCTCCTCAACAACATTTCCTAAATGTTCTTGCAGGAACCTTTTCAAAAATTCTAAGAACATTTTATGAACATCATATGAAACATCTGGAGAATATTTTTTGAATGCTAGCTTGAGAACATTTGTCCTTTGTTATCATGGAACGTTGTAAGAATGTTTTATGGAGGACGTTCTGCATTGTGCTCCCTCAGCAACATCCCGAAAACGTCCTTAGAACGTTGTAGGATCATCTTTATAATGTAACATTATTGGAACATTTATCAACAATCACCGGAAGCCTCGATAACATCTGTAAAACATTTTTGGATGTTGGTTTTAGAACGTTACTCCTTTGTTTTAATGGAGCAAACTCTGGGTTCCTGACAACGTTCTCCCAACATCCTCTGAATGCTGCAGCTAAAAGTTTTCTAACCTCATAGGAACATCGCTAGAAATGAGGACGACCTTTAATACGTTCTTTAAACATTGGACTGAAACTTTAAAACATCAGAACTTGTAGCTTAGCCAATGTTGTGGGAACGTTCTCTGCTAGCTAGAAGAACATTCTCCAACAAAACAGAGTTCCAATAGTAATAGCGGTACCTCTCGACGGTGAAGGCGGTGATGGAGCAGGACGACACGTTGATGCCCAGGTACTGCAGGTACGTGATCCCCAGGCAGCCGGCGTGTCCAAAGTTCCAGGTTCCGGTGAGGCTGTCGGAGATGTTGGGCAGCCCGGCCGCCACCAGAACCGTCAGGTCGGCGATGGCCAGGCTCACCAGGTAGCAGTTGGTGGGCGTCCTCATGTGGCGCGTGGTCAGGACCACCAGGACCACCATGATGTTCCCCACGATGCCCATGCAGCAGACCAGCAGGACCAGGAACACCGACACCGTCTTGTACTCCAGAGACTCGGAGATGCTGGAGCTCAGGGAGATGTTGGTCGGCGTGTCCACTCTGGAGCTGGCGTTGTCCGTCATGGCGGCGGCCGTCGGTGGAAGGTCGCGTTCATGCGGTCAAAGACGAGCGGCGAAGGCCTCGACTCCGAAGTGCCGCCATGTTTTTTTCTTCTTCATTTAGAACGTCGGCTCGCATTTAAAGCCCCGAACTCGTAGCTGATTTATCGGCTGTGTTGGTGTTGACTCGTGTCATCGACCTTCGCTTTGTTAACAAGACGATATAATTATCCTCCAAACGCCGCTCAGGAGTCACCTAGAAACACAAAATGAGTTTAATTAATTGGACAAATGTCAAACATATACATGCAGAACGTCCCTCTGTGGTTCCCTCAGCGGTCCAGAGTCACGTTAAAAATTCTGCTCAGGAACAACAAACTAATAGAATCCAATAAAACACGTGGAGGTCAAAGCAAAGAAGAAACAAAAGCTGCTGCTGCTGATTTATATTATAAAGAATTATGAATATCAAGGATTGAGAAATGGTCAATTCTTCTTTAAACTCTTGTTTTACAGAAACAGAAGTTTACATCCACTAAGATCCTTCAAACTCTTTGGGAAAGCCCAGATGATGATGTCATGGCTTTGGAAGCTCCTGATTGGTTAATTGACAACATCTGAGTTAATTGGAGGCACACCTCAAACACACTGCTGCCTTTGGTGACAACATGAAAAATCTAAAGAAATCAGCCAAGATATCAGGAGGAGACCTGTGGACCTCCACAAGTCATCCTTGGGTACAACCTCCAGATGCTTGAAGGTTCCACCTTCATCTGTTCAAACAATTCTCGTAGGTTAATCGTAGCAACTGGACTTGCTTGAGTTTCTTGAAGATGTTTCATCCAAGAGGCTTCATCAGCTCTGACTGACTAGTTGGGAGTTCCAGATATCCTTAAGGAGCCATTAACACCTGAGTTTCGGTTTCAATTCACTCAAGTGTTAACGGCTCCTTAAGGACTGATGAAGCCTCCTGGATGAGGTAAAATGTCTTCAAGAAACTCAAGCATGTCCAGTTGCTAAAATTAAACTACGAGAACAACCACGGCCTGGATGACTGAGGATCTTCACAAACCTGTTCAAACTAATATAAGTACAAACACCATGGGAATGTCCAGCCATCACAGGCTCAGGAAGGAGACGGTTCTGTGTCCAGAGATGAAGTGTTCTGGTTGAAATGTGCGACTAAACCCCAGAACAGAAGCTGAAGACCTTGTGAAGATGCTGCTGAAGCTGGTCAGAGAGTCATTATCCACAGTGGAACCAGTCCTGTACCGACATGGGCTGGAAGGCTGCTCAGAGAGGAAGAAGACATCACTCCAGAAGAACCATGTCCTGTGGTCTGATGGAACTAAACCTGAACTGTTTGGCCTTAATGACCATCGGTACATCTGGAGGAGGAAGCCTGAGAACACCATCCCAGCTGTGGAGCACGGGGGTGGCAGCATCATGCTGTGGAGGGACTGGTGACCTTCACACAATAGATGGCATCATGAGGAAAGAACATTATGAGGAAATAATGAAGCAACATCTCCAGACATCAGCAGTTAAAGCTTGGACACTAATGGGTCTTCAGATGGACAATGACCCTCAGCATAGCTCCAGATTAGATACAGAGAGGCTTCAAGACAACAGAGTCAGTGTTGTGGAGTGGACATCACAAAGCCCTGATCTCCATCCTGGAGAACATCAGTGGAGCAAGAAGACCAACAAACCTGACTCAGCTCCACCAAAACGGGCCAGAACTCATCTCTAATCAGTGAAAACAGAAACAACAAACGCTGACATTCGAGGATTTTAACTTCATCAGTGAAACCCAACAGAAAGTCAAACTGCTTCAGACTCTTACAGCTGCTGGTTTTGATTTTGTGGAGATGTGAGTGACGCTTAAAGACAGAAAACATCCTCGAGAACGTCAGAAACTGGTTGAAAACACGTCGACTGGTGACTTTAACTTATAAAAGTGAGTCAGAGGATAAAAACCCGACACCTGTCCTCACAGTTTTCTGCTGTTTGTCCGTCTGGTTTCTGTTTCTGACCTGACAGTGAAAGACAAGCTCCAGATGTAAACACCAGGAGCTTCACAGAGCGTCCTGAAGCCGCTCAGCAGATCTCAGACCAGAACCGGTTCATAAAACTCTGCAGCGGAGGAATGAAAGCGCTCGTTAAAGTGCTTTATTTTAACATAATGCTCTGTGCTGCTCTGGTTATGCTCTTCTGATGCCTCCTAGTGCTTCTCTGATAAAGCTACAGCAGCATCTCTCTAAAAAGAGCAGGAACAGACAAACGTTCATCTCCAGCCGCTACCAGGACGGTGAGGTCGCTGCAGGACAAAGTCTTTTCATTTTAACAATCCAGACGTTGCTTTTCTTTTTTCTTTCGTTGGAGGATGTTCATGCAGCAGCAGCAGCAGCTAATTAAGCGATGCGGTGGAACTCCACGAGGCATCTGTTGCTCTTTTAACTCGACTGAAACACTCCGGCTGCCCTCCGGAGGGCTGCCTCCAGTAGATTGAGGTGGACATGAAATGAAAAGTTAATCTGGCTGCAGCGCTGTGCCGTCAGTCAGCCCGGTGTCGGGGCTTCCTGCCGCTCTGGGGCTACACAGGCAAACCTATTTCCATAATCAGGAGTTAATAAAGAAGAATCGTCAGCTTTTATCCACGTCTGCTGGGATGTTGATGCATTTTTGTCTCGTGAACAAAGAAAAGCTTCGACTGTTGACAGCGTCTCGATGTGGATGGACACCTTTTGTTGTGTTGTTTCTCCTGTTTTACACATTTCTTCGTACATTTAATATTTTCTGCTTCACATCAGAGTAAATCTGACTTTTTCTGCTCTATAAATATGCTTTTGCTTCATGAAAACAGTTTTTGCTGCTGCACTGTTCTTTGTAGACGCTGTTTTTAGTTCATTTTAACAGTGATTTTTCTTCAACAATTTCCTGTAATTTTACATTTTAAAGTATTTTTATCAGATAAATAGTCAAATAAACCCCTTTACGTTGAGTTTTTTATGATTTCCGTGGTTCTAACTGAGTCATTTCTGCACCGGAGACCTTATTTCTGCCTCCTGCCTTCTTCGCGGTCGCTGTGTTTCCGTCCAGGTTCAGGATTTTATGTTGCCGTGAAAAATGAGCCCAGAGTGAATAAAAACCTCCAGAAGGCGCCAGAGGCCGTTCAGACCACAGTAAACACTCGTCCTGATATTAATCAGCACATCTATATGCATGGAGCCCAACAACACAGACTGATGTGGGTCAGAAACACCTGCAGCTCGCTTCACCCACATTCTGCTCAAACTAATTCAGTCTGACTTTAACTTATCAGCCTCTTTTTGTTTTTTTTGTTTTTCCTCCTTACAGTTAAACTCTGAGCCTGACTGGCTTCAGCAGCGTTTCCTGCCTGAGTTGGTCCTGGTTCGGCTTTTCCCCCCTTTGGGACGACGATTTAATCTGTTTATAAAGAGGTCGACAGCAGCAGGCTGCACTGTAGAAAATATGAACAGTTTTAACTGGAATTTTTGTAGCAATTTACTCTTAATTTACAGATTTTTCCCATTTTGTTAAATTTGAAACAGCAAAAAAATAGCAGAATTTAGAGATATTTGCTGTTATTTTATTTAAATAGAAAAATATGTGTATATTAAAGATATATCCAAAAAAATGTGACAACATTTTGCAGATTTTTCCCGTTTTGTTAAATTACAGATGACGAAACGTAAAATCACAGAAAAAAATATTAATGTTGGATTTTTACAAATTTACATTTTTTTCGCAACATTTAACCGTAAAATTATTTTTGAAATTGTATTTATATCAGCAAAAAAGTAGAAAATTTTTATTTATAACATTTGCAGTTATTTTATTTTAAAAATATGATGTACAGTATATTAGCGGTTAAGAAATGTTACAACGTTTTGTGTTATGTTACAGATTTATCCTGTTTTTATAAATTATAGCAGATAACTAATAAATTAATTACATTTTACAAATGAAATTTATGTTTTTTATTTGTTTATTATTGTATTTTTTATAACATTTGATAAATAAAACATAAACTATTGTTAAATTACAGATGATCGATGAAGTTGCTGAAATATTTGTATTATTTTACGCATTTACTGTAAAATAATGGCCCTTGTTTTACAGATATATACGACTATCTTTTTTAAAATAAAAAAAACGTATTGAAAAATGTTTTGAAAAAGAATAATAATAATAATAACAATAATAATAATAATAATAACAAATACTTAAATTAGAGATTTTGCTTTTTTTGTTAAATTACAGATGATAACTATTAAAATCATAGAAAAAAATATTATTTTACTCGGTGACTGTAAAATAATGGCCAGACTGGCATCATTTCACAAATTACAAAAACAACAACAACAAAAAACATTATTTTTTACATATCTATACCATTATCCTTTAAAAAAAAAAAAAAGAGAGAGAGAGAAAGAATTTAAAAATGTAAAATAATCATAATCATAATAATAAATAAATAAATTTCACATTAATTGCAGATTTTTCCTGTTTTGTTATAATAGCTCTTAAAATTACAAGAAAAAAAGTATCAATTTGCGTGTTAGCTGTGAAACAAACAAACAGACAAACAAACAAACAAACAAAAACAAATACAGGTCAAAACTGTGAATAACATCCACATCAAAAACATATATTTTCACAAACAGTATTTTGTTCTTTTATCATTTTTGACTATGACATTAAATCAGTTTTCTGTATTTAAACCAGCTATGACATCATCATTTGACATGATTCTGACAGTCATGAACATTCCAACCAGCTCAACTTGATCTTTTCTGGCTCCTCTGCTTCTAGATTTTCTTTTTCTTTTTCTTTTTTTTTCTCTACAGGTTCTGTTCTTACAGTGTAAATGAAATCTGGAGGACGAGGAGGTGAAGCTGCAGCTGCTCAGAGAGTCTAAGTGATGAAACCTGCAGAGTTCAGCTGAGCTCCAGAGCCTCCGAGAAAAACGGACTTAAATCACATTAAAATACGTTTAATGTGTTTTTAGGAACAAACGGATCGTTTACATGAAACACAAACATGATGAACTGATCGGAGGAATTCATGCGTTTCTTCATTTGTTCCACAGATGAGCTGATGTTCCTGCTGAGACTCAGTTCAGCCTTTAGATGGATTCATGTTGTTTTATCATCATGCATTTGGTCGTTTGCTCCATAAACGCTTTGATTTTGCTCCATAAACCAGAACATTCCTGAACATCTCTGTCACTTTTTGTTCCCTAAACTCTCCTGGATTCACTGCACTTGGTTTCTTCTGTCTTGGAACACCGGCTTTTAAAAAATCTTGTCTTTAAAATTTTCCTTTTTGTCAGTTTTAAATGTTCAGAAACACACAAAGTCTGATTCCTCCTGTGTGGAAACGTCCTCGACCATAAAGAAAGAAAGAATGAATGAATGAATGAATGAATGAATGAATGAATGAATGAATGAATGAATGCAAACATGATGAACCTCAAACTTCTAATTCATCTGTCAGTAGAGAATAAAAGCCTTCACCTGCTCAGCTTTGCCTCATCTGTTCCAGGACCCTCGTTAATCCGGACTTCCTCTCCCAGTTTGATTCGGGTTCGTTCTGGTCTCCTTGCTGGAGTCGCTGGTCGCAGGTCTGCAGCTCAACATGCTTTGACCGAGTCTCCACTCGGCGCTCAGAGCTGCTGCAGCTTCGTCACTTGAACTCACTGAACAGCAGCAGGAGCAGCGCCGCCGCCTTCAAAATAAAAGCACAATGATGAGCTGGATTTGGCACAACTGGAGGATTAAACCCAAGACTCAAATAAAACAGTTTGTCATGGTCTGTAGGAAAAAATAGAAAATTATTTTGTTAAAAATGTGAAAATCCAGCCGCAAGGGCACCAGAAGAAAATGTTTGAAAACATTTTAAAAACTTAATTTTTTTATTTTCAAATACCTCATAAAAAAATCAGATATTTTACTAAATATTATCTGTAATTTAACAAAACAGGAACAAATCTGTATAAAGTCATTTCCCTTTTTTCTACCTTAACAAACTTAACTTGTCTTTAAATAACAGCAAATATCTGTAAAATAATCGTATTTTTAGCAGATTTAAATGGGTTTTTGTCCAAAACGGTGTAACTATACAGTCAAATGTTGCAAAAGACCAAATTACTGTTTGTAAAAATACTGATTTTTGATGTGAACATTACTCACTGTTTTAGCCTTTTTTAAAATGTGATTTTTTTACTTTTTAAAATCAGATTTTATGAGATATTTTCTGTATTTTACAAAATAAATTTTAAAACCAGGGTTACAAGATGCTTTACAATTAAAAGAGCGACAATGAAACATTCATAAAGGAAATAAAAAATCAGAAAAGCCAATAAAATGTCAAAAAGTTTAAAAAAAAAATTAAAATGATAGAATAAGTTAAAATAGAAAATAAGACATTAAAAAATACAGCATCAGAAAAGACAATGAAACATTTTTATTTAAAAACAAAAACTGAAAAGATTTAATCGACAATCAAACATTCAATAAATATACATTAAATATTAATAGACAAAAATATTTTAGAAAAAGACAACAACAAAAAAAATGTCACGCGAGACAAACATTATGAAACAAAAACACTAAAAAGCCCAGGACAAGATTAATCAGGACAAAAAAATACAAAAGACACAAACTTTTAGAGGCAATATGATGTTTACAAAAGACAACAATAAAAGTGGAAAAGATAAAAACATTTTTATTAATAATTAACATTACAAAATTACAATTACGTTTCTTTTTTTAATCCAGAAAAACACCTGAAAAGACAAAAACAAAAACCCAAAACAAAACAGGAAATATAAAATGCAGAAAACCCAACCACCAGCTCATAAATAACAGCAGCTGGACTGAAAAGAAAAGCCAAAAAAAAAATCTTTCTTACAACTTCGTAAATGACTGATCTCATCAAAAAAGAAAACAGAACGAAAGAAAGAAACCACAGATTTAAAAAAAAAAGGAAAAAAAATCTAAACTGTAGATAACGTTCACTTTAAAAATCAACATTTTTACAGATAATAATTAATTATTTGACAATGTGAGACCATAAAAGTACAATTTAAATCAGCTAAAAATGTCATTTTCCCCTTTGTTTTAACAGCTTTAACATTTTTTAAGCGTTACAATAATCCAACATTCTTTGATTGTGTTTTTTGTTTTGTTTGTTTGTTTGTTTTGTTTTTTGTTCCTGGCAGATTGTCACTTTTTTAAAATATTTTTTGTTTGTTTGTTTGTTTGTTTTGTTTTTTTACAGTGTCTAACTCTTTTTGTTGGATGTTTTTTTAATTTTTTGGCTTTTATTAATAAATTAATACAATTTATGAAGGTTTTGGTTTAAACTATGAAAATAAAACTCCAGCTTTCTTTTCTATTCTGCTGTTTGATCGTTGATGCTGTTTGAGTTGCAGCAGATGTCAGCAAATGAAATGGACGCACATTATTTTGAAACGGTGACAGGAAGTCGCGTCTCTTCCGTCGTCCAGCTTGACGTCCGTCCTCTCGTCTGATCTTCAGTCTGTCAGGACTCGTGTGTTCAAACAAGCGTCTCCAGCCACAGACACAGGATTCATGAACTAACAGCTGAGATGTGCAGACAGCAGGAGGACAAACTGCTCATGAATAACTAAGTAACTAAATAACTAAATAAGGTTTAATTAAAGTCTCATTAACACAGAACAAACCAATGATTCTGCTGCTTTACTGTCATCAGGTCACACGGTGTCACCTGCAGGTTTCTGGTGATTCCTGCATTCATGTACAAACTCATTACACTGAAAAATGTGGCTGAAGTGGGAAGACTGAAGCATCTTCAGGAGAATTAGTCTGTAAAAAAAAAAATCTGAAACATGCTGAGAAACGCTGTCACGAGTGTTCTAAAGAGTCATGAAGTTACCTGTCAGTCAGCGCGAAGGGCGGCAATGAAACTTAAAGATGGTAAGAGATGAGAAAATACCATAAAAACAATTTAAAAAGTCAAATAATAGTGAAAGATCAGACAACAAAACATTTAGAATGACAATAAAATACAAAGAGGGCAACTTCTTTTGCCATTATTTTTTAAGACAATAAAAAATTACAAATAAAGTCACTAACACCTGTTAAAACCCAACAAAACTCTTTTTTTCTTCCCATCAATGCACAAAGTAAAGCTTATTTTCTTAAATTTTAACAACTATTATCTGTAATTCAACAAAACTATGAAAAAAACATGTGCAATAACTGTGAAATAAAGAGGTTTTCTGTCCTTACGATGCAGAATTTTTCTTAAGAAGAAACACAGATGTTTTTAAAATAAACCTTTGTCCCTATTTAAATACAGTTAAATGAAATGTTCTCTTACAATCAAACAACGTTAACGAACAAGATTCTATAATAACAGTGAAGATTTCTGCACCTATTTTTATTCTCATTCCTGTCATTTATTTATTTCATCATCTTGCGTAACCATGTAAATTATTAGTTGTTATCTGTGGTTTTACAAAACTGGGGAAAATCTGTAATAAATGTAGACTGTTAAAAAGAAACTACTTAAAACATTCATATGTCACAGTGCAGTGAAAGTGCAGCAAAGAGAAAAAAGCTAGATTAGATCAATATTCTTCTTTTATCTATCTTCAGGCTGCTCTTCGTGTTTTGTGTCTTTAATCAGACGAAGCTTCCTGCTGCTGCTTGACTGAAACGGATCAAACTGTCTCTGGACCGACGTTGTTCACCGTCAAGAGGAGTTTGAACTCAGATAAAACCACGTATCTGCTCCCAGAGAGACTTCATCCTGCTGTGTGGTCATCACAGCCGGGCCTCCTGATCATTAATCAATCAATAATCAATCAGTAATCAAGACTGTTATTGTCTGTCCACGCTGGACCTCATTAAAGCTTCTCCACGTGTGTTTTCAGCTCTGACCGCTGCTGGAAAGTAACTAAGTACTGTACTCGAGTACTAGTCTGGGATAAAGGCACTTTACCTGAGTGCTAAAAATGTGTTAGATTAATTATGGTCATTATGATCCAAGAAATTGCATTATTCTTATTCTTCTTCTTGTTATTATTATTATATTTTGGTTTTTTTTTTTTAATAATAGAAAAAGAAGGGTTGGTAAATTGCAGGAAAATTATACCACAAACAGTGAAATAAAACAGAATAAATATATATTTCTTAAATAATCAACAACAAAGCTAATTTTGAAAAAGCCAAAAACAAGCTACATAAAATAAAAACAGCAAATAAAAGCAAGGGATGTTTACAGAGGTTTTTTTTAATGTTTTGGTAGATTTGTATTATATTATATTATATTATATTATATTATATTATATTATATTATATTGCTGTTCTCAGATCAGATTTAAGCCTCCGGCGGTCCACGCTCTGACGTCATCACTGGTCTCAGATCGGTCCTCCGTCACTCCCCGCGCGGCTGTTCCCTCCTCAGCTCGTCGCCCGTTGATGACGTGCTCCGGTAATGGCCGCTCTCGCTGTGCGGTGCGGGGTGTTGTATTTTCTCCGCCATAGCGGCTGAATTAATAATATCTCACATTCACTGTAGACCGTGCGAAGCGACACCAGCGGGAGAGGGCGGGTGTAAACGCAGCAGCGCCGTCTGTAAAGAGCTCCGGGTCGGCAAGGTGAATGGAAATGTGTGCTTGTTAGCGGCTAACGTAGAGCGTAGCCTCTAGCGCTGTTAGCTTAGCTTCAGGCGAAGCTACATTGTTAATTGAACGACGAGGGGAGTTGTGCCGCCGTGTCAGCTCGGTGCTGCGACCGCGGCGTCCGGTCGTTGTCGCCGCTCGGCTCGCCGGTTTGTACGTGTTTTGTGTTTCGGTAAAGAGGATCGGCGGCTCGGTGAGGACAGGTCGCTCGGCGGTTAGCCAGCTCTCTGCGCGCTGTGCCAAGTTATGGGCCTTGTTGGCAGCTAGCGCCCTGCTGTTGTTCAGCCTCATCACGCTGCAGGTGAACTTGTGCAGGAACTTCCACATGTTGTTTAATTAAATGCACATAAGCTGGTGTACCATGGAGCCATCTGGTTGTGTTTGATAGGTGCGACTTTCTTAGAAATGTAGCTGCTAGCTAGCTTGCTAATGCTAAAGCTGTCCTCTGCTGGTGAGTTAGCATCGCCGGTATTGTGCCAAAAAGTGACAAAAACGGCTTTTTGAAGCAGGTGTTGTGCCAAAAAGTGATTCTCTGCCAAAAAACTGATCACAAAGCTGGGTTTATATGCATCTACACCTGCTTGTATGAGGACCAGACAGCCATAACATGCAAATACGCATAACTGTTGTATCTGGGGTGACACTAGAGTTGGTCTTTTTCGTGTCTTTTAACTGAATTTGCAGCTAAAATCAGGATTATACAAGAGATACAATGAATAGTCAACCAGATATCACAGACTTTTCGATCAATGATTAATTGGTTTGAGTATTTTTTTGAGAAAAGCCTTTTAAATTTGAATATTCTGTAGTTTATTTAATTCTTTATGACAGCAAACTGAATCTGTTTGTGTCATTTTAAGGTTTGACAAACTCTGATCGACTTTTTTCACCATTTTCTGGGATTTTACAAAACAAAGGACTAATCAGGTAATCTAAAAAAAATGAATGAAATGAAGTCATTTTGATGCATTACCATCGTTTTAGTTACAACACAGATACTACAGTCACTTTTTGGCAAGTGGAAAATGACAGTAAATAAGTTTAACTGGTCACTTGAAGCACTTTTAACTGGTTAAAAAAAAAAACTGAATTGGTTCATGTAAAACACGGGGGGATAAAAGTACGTCTTTGTCAAACCTTAACGTTTCTTGTAACCGATTAATTGTTAAATGATTGTTGACAGAATCAGGTGTGACTTTTACTGATCTGGACTGTAGTTTCTGATGTTAAAGCTGCATATATCTGGTGCTTGTTTACATTTGTATACTAGACTTGTTATTGTTACATGATTTACGAATACGTTTTATATATAAAATGCAGGAAATTATCTCTTTTGCAGCTATCGTGTGGGCTACACTCGGTAAGCTATACGCCTCCCAAATGAAATCTAACCAGTTTGATGCATTCATAACATTTCAGTTCCACTGTAACGGCTGCAGTCACTGTCTGGCAGGTGAACAACTGAAATATATGAGCTGAGTTAGATCTTTAAAGCTATTTCATTGAAGTAATTGGTTATAATTGGAGCAAGCAAAATAGTGCAGAGACATAAAGACAATTGCAAGACAGAGAATTTCTTCATTTTATGTGTTTAAACCATTCGTATATCATGTTAAATATATTCTGATTTGCAAATACAACCAAGGATGTTAGATAAACCAAACACTACAGTTCATGTCAGGCCTGTAGACTGCAAACATCACCACAGATGTAAAGAATGTGTGTATTTGCACATTATGACTGTTTGATCCCCGATATAAGAATCACTGGTGATGCAGCGTTAGCGATCAGTTTTTGGCAGATTATCATTTTACAGCACGACACCAGAAGCTGTCGTTCATGAAACAAAATCCTCAATGACATATTGTTCTGACTCATTCTAATTTGTTGACAAAGTTTTTTTTTTTTTTAAATCGTTTTTCTCCAGTCACCAGGCCATTCTGTGTGGAAGCTCGTCAGTTTTCTTTGCTCAGACACATGAACCAAAACATTTAGTTTGGCTTTAACACGTCATGTGATTTAGTTCAGTGTGTTTGTTGTCAGTCAGCGTGATCTTTGTTGTTTGTTTCGGTTTAGATACGTTCGATGTTAGGTTGAGTGTGTTTGAATATTGCAGGATTGATTGATTGTCTGATGTGTTTTACTGAACAGGAGTAAAACTCGACTGATTGTGGATGTTTTGGACAGAAGCTACGACCAGTTTATAGGAAATTAAGAACTTCTGACATATAGTGGCCGATATTCTTTACATATATGTGCACATATACCGTCTAGCTATAGTATGTTGGTTGTCTTAGGAAGGGAACATGTTGGGGTCATTGTTTATTGACCTTCCAGAATCACCGCTTGACTCCGCACCACCTTCAGCTCAGCTGCGACTCTGCTGCATGTGCTGCAGTCGGAGCTGGACGAGTTATATGGTGACACCGTTTCTAAATGATCCAGAGCGTCTTTTTCTGCGTTATGTTCTGTAAAATCCAAAAAAGTTTTAATATCAGACCACGTTATCTGTTGACAGATGTACCGGTCGAGCTCTAAGCAGTCGTGTTAAAATTTAGCAACTAGGAACGTTGGATTTTTCATCCAAAATGCTGAATGATTTACATTCACCAGCGATCTGTTGTTATTCTCAGTTGTTATATCATAAGTAGGGTTTATTATTTCCCCGCTTTATTATTTACGTTTGGCTTTTGACTACAGACAACTTTATTAGCCTCTTAGACGGATAATTATACATTTTTATTGCTGGTTAGCTACCGTGTATTAGATAAGAGTGTCCATCATTTATCAGAACATTAGCAGAGTTAAAGCTTTGAAAGTCGTTGCTGTCAGGACGTCGACTTCTTTTCTTCCACATATTATAGACAAAGGTTTTTGTTGTTCAGATTAATGGCTAATCCTTCACAGGACTGTCATGTTGACAAAAATGTTCAAAAAGTCTTATAGATAGTTTTGTTACAGCATCCTACCATAAAATTATTCCTTTTGATTGCCTCGGAGCAGTAAAATAATTTTATTACTTGTTAAAATTCCTCCAAGAAAAGGCCTGAAATTAAGGTTCCATTATATTATATGGGTCAAAGTGTTTATTATTTACATTTGACTTTTGACAACTTTATTGTTTGGTTATATTCAAAGTTTTCTGTTGTACCATCTATAAAACTTGGCGAACGTGAGGATCTTAAATTGACAGATTTTTGAGTGGAATTTGGCACAATGTGCTTTTTAAGACGTAGAAAACATTAAATGCGTATCGTGGCTCCGTTACTGTGTCGTTTGTTGACTTTTTCTCACAGATTCTTTTCTTTTTCTGCCAGAATATTCTCTAATGGATACTCCTGAGAGCCCTACCCAGTCCCCTCAGTCTCCTGAGGAGGAGGAGAAGGGTCTTTCTGACAGCGAGCTGCTGGAGTCTCCCGACGAAGAGGAGGACAGACTCATCTCGGACAGCGAGATTCTCCGTGAGGACGAAAACGGAGGCCTGGACGAGGAGGATGAGGCGGTGGGAAGCCAAGAGAGAGGTTCGGAGTTGGAGGACGAGAGAGAGGAGGAGGACGAGGTGGTCCCTGACTTTGTGTCCGACCCAGAGGATGAGGAGGCCGGAGGAGAACCGGGAGGGATGGGGCAGGAGGATGAGACTATTGTTCTGATGGAGGGGGATGAAGATGGTCCACAGGGGGAGGAAGAGGAGGAGAAGGAGGAGGAGGAACGAGTCATTGACACCCCACAGTCTCCAGACTCAGAACCAGAACAGGGCAAAGGCTTCATCGCTGAGGAGGATGGAGAAGACGGGGAGGAAGGATACGACGACGACTACAGGAAAGCAGCGCAGCAGCAGGCAGCCGAGCTGGACGACGAAGAGGAGGACAAAAACAAAGCCGAGGACGAAGAGGAGGACGAAAGGAGGAGGGCCGAGGAGAGGAGGAGAGCCGTGGTGGTAAGGGAGCTGAAGGACGACTCGGCGTCGGTTTCCCGGGAGCTGGACGAGCACGAGCTGGACTACGACGAGGAGGTGCCGGAGGAGCCCAGCATCCCGGTGAACGAGGAGGACGAGGACGAGGAGGAGCCGAAGGCGGAGGACGAGGAGGAGGAGAGCGAGGACAAGCGCATCAAGAAGAAGGAGAAGAAGCCCATCCTCCCTCCGTCGCCCAAAGATGGCGAGTCTAGGAGGACGGACGACTCCAAGGGGCCCGAGAGGATTCGCAGGGATTCGTTCAGAGACAAGAAGAAGGAGGAAGACGACGGAGAGATCGACGAGGGAGAGATCGATGTGAGTGATCGGCTTGTAGCTGATTGGCTGGGTGCAGGTCAACATGTCTGACATAGGCAGGAGTTTGGAGGCAGTTCTTTAACAAGGAAGTGCTTTAATTGTGTTTTTATCCGACTCGTAAATACAAAACTTAGTCAAATAGTAGCTCTGGAGTGTACAGACTTCAATTAAAGGTGGAAAACTGAGATATTTAATCCTGATCGGGCTCAATCTGACCAAAATCTCCTTTCTTTTCCTGTGTTTTTGAAGTGTGTGGATTTTATTTCTCTGATGTCAGTGACTGAATTCTCACTGCAATTTTGGTAAAGTGAGGATTTGTAAAGCTGCGATTCTGAATACTTCCTTCTCATTACAAGAAAACAGTGTAAACAACATTCAGGTAGCAGCTCGTCATTTTTTATCCAGAGCCAACATCACTTTCACCACTTAAGACAAACGACAGTTTTACAGAATTCATCTTGGCTGAGTTGTCAGTCTGTCGCCAGCTGTACTCGAAATGATTTTGAGAATTTGTGATTAGATTTTTAACCCTCCGAACTCCTCGCAGCAGCTTCTGGGCGTTTCTTTTGCTCCTTTCACGTTTTTACTCACTGTAGGTTCATTTTTCACTGCAACATAAAGTCCTGCAGCTCTGTGGAAACAGAATGAAGAAGGAGAGAGAACTCTGAGCAGAATGACAGAAATCTGAGTCAGTCGTGGCTTCACGGTCGAACCAAGATGTGCAGAATTTTTTTAACTTTCTTTTTTTTTTTGCAGAATGCAGTTAAAGCAGACGGTTTATTTTATACAACATTTTAAACAAGACAACAAGTAATAATCATGAAATATCAGGATTTTAAGCTTAGATTTTATTATGTTTCTTGACAGATTAAAACGTCACACACGGTTACTTCAAATTCAAGTCAGAAAGTCGTAAATCAGACGATTCTTGTTGTTTTTACTGTTTCTGTCTTTAACAAACGGTGTTATTTTAGCATGTTTCTAAAGACGACATGCCGTTCAAACCTGCCGGCGTGTTTGAGGGTTCAAAGGGTTGAGAAACTGTAAAGAAAAACAAAAATGGAAATAACAGCCAGTGAAGCTGCGTCCTTAGATCTGTAGATTCTCTTATCGAGAGCGGAAGTGCAGCGTAATTAAATTAACCGTTACATCCAGTCAGTAATGCTGCCAGTCCCTCTGTTTTTTGTCAACACTGAGGCCATTTTGTTTAATTAAACTTTATCGGAAACGTCTGTGGACAAAACCAGCTGTGTTCAGAGCTCCACATGTGTGGGGGGGGTTTTACACCTCTAGGGGGCGCCACAAGCTTATAAAGTTCTCATAACTTACTGGAGGTGAGCATCTGAAAGTGTGATTTGGCTGAATTTTATCACCCAGAAGCAAAAAAGAAGTGATGTTAGAATTGAGGATGTGGTGACGGTGAATGTCTCTACTGTGTGTGTTGAAGCTTCACACCGACGTCGGACGTTTCTGTTTTATTTAAAGCTTTTTTTGAAGTTTACAAAAAAATCTGGTTTACTCAAAAACCACAGCGTTGAATTTGATGAAACTTGGTGGAGAGGTGGAGCCTGGACGCAGGAAGAACCCTGTAAATTCTGGTGCAGATCCGATCCAAAACACTTTAAATGAAATTGAAATGAAGCAGGACATTTGTGATTTCAAGTGCACTTCTGGTTTACACTGTTATCGGTGGACCTGCAGGTAAAGCCCTGACCTGATGCTAAGGGGGCCCTGGGTTCAGTCTGGCAGGTGACATTAGACGTGTAAAATATACTTCAAATATCTGTCAGAATACTAACCTTACAACGTGAAACACAAATAAAACCCACTTTGGCTCAGGTAGCAGAGAGTTTACAGATGTGTCACGATTTGCTTTTGTGCTTGTGCGTCCAGGACGACGACCTGGAGGAAGGGGAGGTCAAAGATCCCTCGGACAGAAAGATCCGACCGCGTCCCATCTGCAGGTTCTTCATCAAAGGTAGGAGCTGACGGCAGATCCGGCAGCGGCGTGGTTACCAGCAGATTTAAGCTAATTGGAGTTAGCGTGTTAGCCTGTACGTACGGTGCCATTCAGGTAGTCGAGTCTTTTTATCTCAAATCATAAACTGTTTCTGCTGAAGCTTTTCGAGCATAAAATACAGATATTTTTGAAGGTTTTTGTGAAGTTTAGGCTTGATATGTCAAATCCAAGGTAAAAATACAACAAAAATTGCCCCACTTTTAGTTTGTTTTGAGGATGTTTGAACGACAACATCTCAGGAACTGTTAGAGACAAAAACCTGAACTTCTCACTGTTGTTTCTCATCATGTTACTGATTCAGAACCTGTAATATCAGACAAATGGATCAAATAGTCTCTGGTTATGGGTGAGTTGAAGTCCCATCTCTGAGCTCGTATTAACACCATGTATCATGGCAGTGATGTTTTCTGAACCACATGTAGCTGCAGGTCGCAATAACAAAACTAAACATTTAGAATAGTTTTAAGATGAAATACTGGATAGTTATTTTAACTTTCATAACTGATTGAGCACGTTTGATGAGTTGTACCGTAAAAACAAAAGTATTGGTAGAACGTCTAATCCAAATAAAAGTTCTGGAGTTTCAAAACGGTTCTTGACAAATATCCAAAGTTTATGACGGTAAAGTTTCTAACAAATCAGAGATGGTCGAGCAGAAGGAAGCTGGTGATATGAGATGGAAAAACCTGATTAAACACAAATATCCACCTGAGAGCACCAGTGTGTTTGATTTTAGCAGTAAAATGTCTTTTTTTAGTTCATATCTTCCTTAATAATCAAGTTTAATAATGCATTTTTTATGTTAGAGAGGCAATAAACTAATGAGCCTCAGTGCACCAGCGACTTTTAAATGTTTGTTTCTGAAAAAATGTCTTCATCAACCGGCACAAGAACTGTTGAGGAATAAAACACAGACCGGTTAGCGGCTGTGTTTAGATGATTTGACACGTTGGTTTTTGAGATGTGATATTTTACGCTTGACATTTTGAAGAAAACGCAGAAAAACCAACGACTTCTTTGACATGATTCAATAAACACGTTAGTATAGATTCATCCTGAAAGGCTGCTGATTGTGGAAACCTTTCTCCTCATCCAAGTAACACCGGAGAAACGACAGACTTCCTCTTCATAAAATCGTCTGTACAGTGAGCTGAATGTTTTCTGCAAACTTTGCTGATAGAGTCTCACGTCGATTTAAATTATATTCTTCAAATGTTTATCTTGAACTGAACACAACAGCTCCTGGGAATCTGTTTTTTTTTTTTTCCTCTCACATTTTTCAGGCAGAAGTTTTGGAACTGATGCTAATTTTTGATAACTGAATATTTAGTAACTGTGTAATGTCTCTAATTTAACGTGCCAAACATTTTAGGAATGTCTGGTTCGTCGTCGCTTTAGGAGCTCGTCAGTAGGGTCACCTTTGTTCCAGTTTTTGTTGTTAGTCGATCTACAGCAGAGGGCGCTGTTCAGCCTCGTACGGACCTTCACGTGGACTCACTTTAATTACAACCCTTAACCTGCGACGGGGACAAACTAGGCACTGAAATTAAAGTGGTTTACTGAACTTTAGGTGAAAATAGAGAGACGATGTGGTCTAAAGTAATGATTGGACAGAACATTTATTGCTTTTTTGTGCGTGTTGTGTCAAAAAACAATCACGTAAAGGATCTTAATTTACAGCGTTGACTCTTTTTTTAAAACCTGTTGCATCAATATGCTCTCTGATGATTGATTAGAAATCAGTGACTTCCAATTCATGCAGCTGAAATGTCTTTTTAAAGCTTGTCTACACAGTTGTATCACAGTCTTTTCCTCCAGGGCGATTAGCTTCACTGCCTGTTAATCTGTTGATTATTTTTTAGATTAATTCGTTTTTTCAGTCTTTAAAAGGATAAAAATGGTAAAAAAAAAATAAATAAATAAAAAATTGCAAGATGCTCATTGATGTTCAGTTTATTGTCATAAAGGAGGAAAGAAACCAGAAAATAATCACGTTTAACAAGCCGAAACCACAACACTGAGACTTTTACCTGTAAAAACAATTAAGAAAAAATCCGTCAATCAAACTCACAATAGTCGGAGAATTGAATTAATGTTGTGGTTTTAACGCTTTGTGGCACTTTGTAAGAACACACAGCTTTAACACGGCTGTATTTTACACTGTTGTAAACATTTAAGTGAACTTTGTGAGCGTCTAATTAGGCTCATAGCATGTATTTATATAATAAATAGAAACAAATTGACCCCTTTTTAGTGTTTTAATCCTCAATATCTACTGACAGAGTCGATTTTTTTTGCCCTCAAATGATGTTAAACCTTATTCCTCCACTTTGTCCCCGTCAGGAAACTGTACTTGGGGTATGAACTGTCGCTTCATCCACCCCGGAGTCAACGACAAAGGAAACTACTCCCTCATCAGTAAACCAGACCTGTTCTCACCCAATGGAGCCCCTCCTGGAGGACCTCACCCGCTCATCCCCAACAACCCCTGGGTAAAAACGCTCCCTCAGAGGAACACTGTGTTGTTTTTGTTAGAGATCGACCAATATGTTTATTTAAGGGCAGATGTTGATATTGATTATTGTGATGGCAGGTGATCATTCATAACTGGGTTTGTTCATTATTACTGAATTTATACATATTTACATTGAATATTGTTTATTAACAGTGTGTCATTTATAGCGAGACTTCTTCATTAATTAATTAAGGATTACTGTAAGTGATTATGTCCAATAGAAATAGTTAGTGATGACATTTGAGCATCACATGTCGCTACTTCGCTCTGCTGTTCATCTTCAGATCAATAAGTTTGTCTCCTGCAGTTACATTTTCTGTTGCGTTAATCTTTTTCTGTTTTATCCGTTTAATTGTTCGGCTCACGTATGAAAACACCAGTAATTATTGTTTCCAGACTCTGGTTCTGAGTAATCTGTGGCTGCCTCCTCACTTAGCTGCTAGCTGTTAGCATAGCGTTAGCCACTGTGCAAGTAGCTAATGTCTTGAATTGTAGAGACGGCTGTGCTTGTTGTTCAGTTTTTTGCAGGTTGTGTCTTAACTTTGACAGAAACGTCTGTTAAAGTTAATCTGAGTTCAGAAAGATGCTACGGTGCTCCGGCTAGCGTTAGCACCAGGCTAAGCGGCACAGCGAGCCTCTTAGCATAGCTAGCTGGTGCTAATTCATCACTGCTTTTTTGCTCTGCAAATGCGCTCCGATTTGCAATGTGTTTCTCTGTCTCTTTGTGTAAACAATCGCTGTGATTGGCTGTTACTCGTGACACGTAACAGCCAATCAGAGAGCGCTGTGGGCGGGGCATTGGCTGATCAGTTGGATCAGAGCTGAGGAAGCACATTTATTTATTTTGCGAAAATTTGCCAATAAAAATAATGACACCAAATATCTGAGTCAGTAATCGGCTGCACTGAGAGTCGGTCAGTCCCTAAATTCTGCGACTAAGTTCCTGCAGCATCACTGAGCTTTGATACGTGTCTGTGAGCACATGTACAATAATATGATAATCTGTGTGTGTGTTGAAGGCTGCTCCTGCTGTGGAGGAGCTCCCTCCACCTCCTCCTCCAGTGGAGCCTCCCGTGGAGAGCGCCTGGGAGAGAGGTCTGCGACACGCCAAAGAGGTAAACACTTCCACAGGAAGGTGGAAATGAATCTGAGCCGCGTGGAATATATCGGCTCTGCTGCTGAGAGCGTGTAAACACCAGAGCTGTTTGTGTAAGGACGTCACAGGAGAGCTGGCGGACTGCAGGAAAATTATACTACCAACAATAAAATAAAACAGAATACACACACACACACACACACACACACATATATATATATATATATACATATTCAAACCTTAATTCCATATATTCACAGTCACTACTATTTAAAGATTAATAAGGTTGCTATGATGCAAGAAAAGACCTGAAATGAGAACATTATATTATATTATATTACAGTCCACACTCTGACCACCATCAATAAAATAAAACAGAATAATTTTTTTTAAAATAATTTACATTAAAACAAACAAAAAGCACAAAAAAATCTCTAGAAAATAAAAACGGCACACTAATAGCATCCAGGGAATTCTTTGATTTGTCAGGTTTTTTTCGTATATCTTGTAGAATCAAAGCTTTAAAGTTCATCACATCAGCGCTGTGGCTTCGTTGCAAGAAGCTCCACAAATAGAGACGCTACTGAGGATGCACCTGCAGCGTTAGACAAACTGAGTTCTTGGTTTCGTGTCTCGTAGGTGCTGAAGAAGGCCACCATCCGCAAAGAGCAGGAGCCCGACTTCGAGGAGAAGCGATTCAACGTGACGATCGGCGAGGACGAGAGGGAGTTCGACAAGGAGAACGACTTCTTCAGAGAACGCAGCTACCGAATCATCAGAGAGTACGAGCTGCTCACACCCAACACACTCCTTATTAACTCTATAGTAATGATAATAATAATAATAACAACACCTTTAAAAGCACACACAACTAATCAGGTGACTGAACGAGAAACACTCACTGTTTTTCTTTTCTTTTTTCTTTTTTGTACAAGAATCCCGTTAATAATTAATGCACAAAAGTAAACGACAAAAGAACAGAAATATCCAAAAACTGAACTTATACACAGCTCAAGAAGAAAGATTTCTTTTTTCCTTTTTAGCTTTTTTGCTGGCTCAAGTATCTCTAGAATTAGATCCATTCATATTTCTGACGGAAACAAACACAAAGGGACAAAAAAATAGAAAGGAATTATGAAGATGCTGTAGGCGGGACTGTAGCGTCTCGCCTGACCGACCATTTCCTGTTTAAATCATTTAAGCTATTCAGATTTTATCTCATTTTTGCTCTTTATCGCTTTGCCTCCTGCTGCGCTGTCTCCATCTCATTTTAATTTCAACTTTTCACACACAGAATTCATAATACGATCAGAAAAGAGCCTCAGTATTGGTTCGTTTTCTCTACCGCTGCTGTGAAAACACACAAGTTTCCCGTCAGAACACCATTAGTGCAAAGCAAATACAGCAAACGTTGATATTGATCTGTTTTTTTTTTTCTGTTTCAGCGAAATGGAATTCAGAGAACCTATTTATGGGTAAGTGTAACCGAACCGTTAACGCCTCCGTTTTTGGCTCGGTGTCAGAACGTGACCGCGTCACTCTGGAGCTTTACTGTCAAACCTGTGGAACGTTTAATTGCTTTTTTGAAGATTGTGTTACAAGCAAACAGACGTCTGAAGACGTGCGCACGTCATTAAGTTATCGCAGGTATGAGGTTCCATTTTAAAGTGTTCCAGGTCTTCAGTGATAAGGGAGAGAATGAGAGAAGCCTTGTTTGTTCTCCATGTTTGACTCACACGTGGACGCAGACTTTAGTGGCAAAGCGTCCCGTACAGCACGTTTACCTTTGGGAGACGTTTCCACCGTAAATTGACGCGGAAAAGGAACAAATGTGTGCAAAAAAAATGAAAATGAAGCGTTTGATGCACACAATTCTGCATCATTCTGTAAAAATACAGTCGTGACTCGATAATCAGACACTGAATGTAAAACCTTCTCTTATGTCGGATAGCAAGGCTGTCGGATTGTCAAGACGGAGGTCCAGATACGAGGAGGGCTTGATGCTGGAAGGCTCATTAGTTGTTCATATTTATTGTTCATAGTTGTCATAATAACTAGTAGGGCTGGTCCCAATCGCAGTTTCTGGTCTCTGGATATTCAGGCCCAATTAATGATGAATATCCAAATATTCGGTGCAGTCAGGGGACACCTCCACCCCGGGGCAGCGCTCTGACGGGGTGGAAGTGTCCAGAACACACAGGCAGTACTTGGCTGCTGATGCTAGTTTAGTTAGCGCTCACACTTCTGTTTCCTCCATCGGTGGCGGTGGGGGAGTGGCAGATACACTCCACCGTTACCGTCCATGTTTACTTCCATAAACACTGAGCACGCTCGCTGCGTGTGACGTCGTCGTGTCCTCTTCTGCGCATGCGGGACACTTTTGGGTCGTATGAAGTTCACACAGCAGATCACATACAAGTCGCATTGAACTGGAAACGTGAAGGAAGTCACAAAGAAATCCTCATTGAGCATCAAGTCCTGCAGTGTGAACGTAGCCAATCTGTGGGATTGTTCAGTCAGATAATACGCCGTCATCCTGATTGGTGACATTTAAGTGTCATGTCGGAGTCAGAATCCAAGGCTGTCGATATGTTAAGGCTGTTTTTATGGGTTCTGTCCGTTTTTTTTCCTAAAAGTCTGTCAGATATCAAGGTTTTGGATTGTTAAGGGTCAGATTATCGAGCCTTTACAGGCATTTTCTAAAAACCTCAAACCAAAAGCAAATAATCAGCCACAGAAATGTCCACCTATGTGCATATTAAACATGTAGGAATCCTTTGTGGGGTAATGTTTCTCGATGTTCTTCCCTCTGCAGCGACCCATATGCCGACCCGTACTACGACTACGAAATGGAGGCTCTGTGGCGAGGAGGCCAGTACGAAAACTTCAGAGTGCAGTACACAGAAGCTCCTCTTCCGTATCACTATAGCGTGAGTTTTCCTCAAACGTTTCACTGCAGCGTTTAACCCTCTGAACCCCAAAAAGCAGGTAAAAACTGAAACTGTGAGAAGACGCACTCGTCTGAGTTTCTTCTCAGCGGTCAGAGTGACGCGCCGTTCTGCCTGGAAAGCTAAAGATTCTGATTGTTCAAATAAATTTGATATTTCATCAAAATCACTTGCTTAAGAAGTTGTCGCTGATAAACAAGTTAGTCATGACTGTAGAAACGTACAAATTGCAAAACAACTTCTGGTGAGTCACTTTTCCTTTTTGTTTTTTTCCTCTTTTCTCAATAAAAGACTGACAGTTACAATTTCTGTACGTTGCAAAATGCTCTTATTACTATTTTCCAAAATTACGTTATTGCACAAGCAAGGCTGAACTCACGCTTTCTAGTTATCTTCACTTCACGCCAAAGAAAAACAGACGTAGAGAGCCGGTTTTATCTAATTACAGGAAAGTTTTGCGGTTTTATTTACTCGGTCCATTTAGTCCAAATCCGATGAAGCTCATGTTTTTTCGTGCTCTTAGGGAAAATGACGAATCTCCCATATTCTTGTGTACGATGTCAATCCATTCCTCAGCAGTGGGCGGTTCTGCTTTTCACCACTGTTAGAGAATTACTGTCTTCTCTGCGTGTTCGTTTGTAAAGATGAGATCGGATTCAATTCGGTCTCAATCAATCAATTTAATTACACATTGAATATTGCATTACAGAGCTCTGGGTCAAACTTTCCCTGGCAGACAAAGCAAGACTACTCCTGTTGCCTCTGACCCTTCTTTTTTACTACTCAGTCACGTGATGCCTGGTCAGGTCGTAAAACAACTGATTGGGGCCCATCTTCATCACACTGAATGGTCCTTATATGGACTTCTTTTCCTCCGTCTGTTGTTCGTCCTGTGAAACCATAAAAGAAACAGACCCAAGCAACTTCCTCAAAAGAAAACATTTCATGACTATGTGCATATATGTAACTTCTTATATATTTTAAACTTTAAGGACTACGACCTGTCCAGGGTGTCCCCTGCCTTCGCCCTAAGTCGGCTGGGATAGGCTCCAGCCCCCCCGCGACCCTAATGAGGATTAAGCGGTGTATAGAAAATGGATGGACTTTAAGGACTATACTTCACACATGATGTAATATATTTATACACAACACCACTCAGGATGTTTGTTTGATTTGCTGCCAACAATATACCAAAATAATTCCAATCTTCAAACAATATATCGTCCAAATACACAGTGGGATCTCCTTAAAAAAAAAAAAAATTTACCAGAATGAAGCAATTGATCACCCAGAAGCTGCAAAAACAGAAAGAATCATCAGATATTCAACTTTTAGTCGTGTATCATGTGTACCAACTCATCTGGAAAGTTAACCAAAGCCGCGACTAGAAATCACGACATTTTATTAAAATCACTTTATTCTACATTTTTAATCTCCAAAATTCACCACAAATGAGAAGTGTGAGAATGTTCTTCAAAGTTCCTGTAATGTTTGTGGTTGGAGGTTCTCTTTTAGTTCCCAGATTAATAATAATAATACATAATACTCATAATATAGTGGTTTTCAAGACACACAAAGTCGCTTTACAAAGTTGGTAAGAACACAACAAGAAAACAAACAAACATAAATAAATAAAATGTAATAGGAAAGGAGCGTAAAGGAAAAAGAGAGTTATGATGAGCTGTAGGCAGTGTTGGAAAGATGTGTCTTTATGGACTTCTTCAATAAGAAGAATCATCTTCTATACATGGAAAAACACGACGGTAGCAAAAAAAAAAAAACGCTCTGAAGTTTCATGAGGTGCAAAAGGTTCATTTGTTCTTCAGCGTTCTTGCAGTGTTTTTAGTACAATGTTCTCTTTTAGTTCCCAGAATGTTCTTCTAATAGGTGGAAAAATGTGACATGAGCCCCAAAAAAAAAAACACCCAGTAACAGTTCAGAGGGTTCAGCGCTTAAATGTTCTATAAATGTTCTTTAGAGTTCTAGTGATGCTTCAAGTAGGAAGTTCTCTTTTGGTTCCTAAAATGTCCTTAAAGGTGGAAAAGTATGAGCAAAAAAAAACACCCAGAGATCGCAATGGGTTTAGATATGTTCTGAAATCATTCTGAGAATGTTCTTCAAAGTTCTGGTAACGTTTTAAAAAGGATGTTCTCATTTAATTCCTAAAATGTCCTCTAACGGTGGAATAATATGAGCTAAAAACGCCCAGAAATCGCAATGGGTTTAGAGGGTTCCCTCCTAAAATTGATCTGCTCTGAAAATGTTCTTGTAGTGTTTTTAGTAGGAAGTTCTCTTTTAGTTCCTAAAATGTTCTTAAAGGTGGGAACATGTGACAGGAGGAAAAGGAGGCCCAGAAACCTGGGTTCCCTGCTAAAATGTAATTGTTCTATAAATGTTCTTCAGAGTTCTAGTGATGCTTTAAGTAGGAAGTTCTCTTTTGGTTCCTAATAGTCCTAAAAGGTTAAAAAAAAAAAAAAGAGAGAGAGAGAGAGAGGAAAAACCGCCTAGAAATCGCTGGGGTTTAGAGGGCTCCCTCCTAAAACTGTTCTGTTCGGAGAATGTTCTTGAAAGTTCTGGTTGAGTTCAAAGTAGGACGTTCTTTTTTAGTTCTTCGTGTAGGTGCGAACATGTCTTTTAGTTTCCAGAATGTTTTTCTTATAGGTTGGGGTTCAGGGGGTTCCCAGCTGAAGTTGAGTTGTTCTGTAAATGATCTGAGAATGTTCTTCAAAGTTCTAGTCATGTTTTAAGTGGGAATCGTTTTTTTTAGTTCCCAAAATGTTCTTCTTATAGGTGGAAAAATATGACATGAGCAAAAAAACATCCAGAAATCGCAGTGGGTTTAGAGGGTTCCCAGCTAAAACTGATCTGTTCTGAGAATGTTCTTCAACGTTCTGGTTGTGTTTCAAGTAGGACGTTCTTTTTTAGTTCTTCGTAGAGGTGGGAACATGTGACAGGAGCAACAAGACGCCCCAAAAACATCTTCTAGTTGACAGAATGTTTTTCTTATAGGTGGAACACTGGGGTTCAGAGGGTCCCAGCTGAAATTGAGTTGTTCTTAAAGATGTTCTGGAAATGTTCTTGTAATGTTTTTAGTTTGACATTCTCGTTTAGTTACTAGAATGTTCAAGAAGTCTAATAAAATCCCTCCCTGGAGTTCGGAGGGTTAATTTTTATGCTCGATGTAGAACAACAGCGGCACGTTTAGACGTCTGACCTCCATCGTTCTTCAGCAAGTAACGCCTCTTTTTTTTTCTTCCGCCTCGACAGGAACGAGAACGCGACCGAGACCCTCGCGAGCGGCAACGCGACCGCGAGCGGGAGAGAGACCACCGGGAGAGGGAGCGCCGGCAGCGCGAGAGGGAGAGGGAGCGAGAGAGGGAGCGGGAGAAGGAGAGGATGCGACGGAAGGAGGAGTGGGAGAGGGACCGGATGAAGAGGGACGACAAGGAGAGGCCGAGGATGAGGCCTCCCCGAGACGCCCGCGAGAAGAAGGACGAGGACAAGCTGAAGCCTCGGTCGCCCCTCAGCCTCCCGCCAAAGTAAGCCACGCCTCTTGTTCCTGTGTCGGTACGCAACCAGTAGCAGGGACCCATATCTGGTACCGTTATGTGGTAAAGGTGTGTTTTACCAGCATGTGACAGCAGAGAACCCGGTCATTAATAGGTTCTCCATCACTGAATAGAGTGTACGTATCCAGCTGTAGTAATCCTTAATAATTACCAGGGCTGCAGCTGTTGATTATTTCAATAATAATCGAGTATTCTATCGATTATTCTGGCAAGTAATCGTATAAAAAATGTTTCTCCTTTTTTCTTCGCGGCTTACTTCGACGCAAAATGTCTACGGAGACAGATATGCGTTTTGTCCCAATTCAGAGGCTCCATCCAATTTAAATTTGTTGACGCAAATATAAACTTAAAATATTACGACGTCGCCACAATCTGTGTAAAATCGAACTCAAGCACTGAAGCTGTACGACTGGAACGTACACGTTTTAAAGAGCAGCGGCTCACGTCGATCATGTATCTTCATTACGGGCCTTAATTTTTTTTTAGTTTTTAAAAGTCTGTTGTGTTTTGAACATCTGCATCGTCAGCCACTGCAGTGGGCTTTAACATTGAAAGTGGAATCCTCAGCCAGCTTAGAACTCCAGCTGTTGGTCGAACCGTCACCAGCGATTCTTAGGATAGGAAGGGTCCACCTGATGCATCCTCTGCAGCCGCCGGAAAGGACGACACGTTTGAAGGAGGCTTAATGAAATAGGACGGCCTTTAAATGCAGCCTTCGAAGGATTGTGGCAGAAGACTGGTCGACATCCGCGCTGTATCGTGCATATATAGTATTGTACCTTGAGGCATTTTAGTGATCGAATCACTCGTGGAATCGTTTCAGCCCTACGAATTCCCAAGCCCAGTTATGAATGACTGCTGTTAAAGTATAACCTGTAGTTTACATCAGTGCCAAATAACCGTTATCAGCCTTTCTTGATCGCCAATCGTTGGTCCTGGCCAATACTCGATCGATCCCTGCTGCACACGCTTTCCTGCCTTCCTGTCTTCTTGCCTCTTTCTTATCAGTGCTGAAAACAAGCAGGATATACTCTGGTATCGTGCAAAACTAAACTCAAGTGTTGCTTTACAAGATTTTCACTGAACCACATCTGGCACGTTCCTCTGTTGCTAAAAGCTAACAATAGTTTGCTGCTATTTTAGGCTATTTTCATTCAAGATAAAACCCGACGGACCACGTGTTGGCTGCACAGTACAGTAAAAAAGTACAATGAGTTAGACAATCTGATGGATCTGTTTTTTGTACCTGACAGATTGGAATTCCAACTTCTAAAATACCTGAGATGTTGGCTCACCGTACGATGTGCAAGAACGGGGAAATTACACAATAGCAAAGTTGGACTAACAGATAAACGCGTGTTGCCGTTTCACTTCCCTGCCGCGCTGTGGTTTCTGTTGGCTGACATTCACCTGTTTGGCGCTAAATATGACTTAAGTTATTAGACGTGGAATCCAGCTCGGTCACACAATGGCGTGAGCGCTACCAGATGGTATCTTCTCTCTCGTGTCGGGTCGTGACACCGTACATGACGTTAGGACGTGACGTCTTCTCGTGATAACATCGTGGGGTTGTAATGTAAACACATTAGCCCTGCTGCTCCTGTGTGCTCCCGTTTAGCTCTCAAACATGTGCACGTGCGTTTGAGGGGGAAATATGCCTGCTGATGTCTGGAAAACAGAACCTCAGAGGCTTTGTGAACACCAGAGAACGTATTTGTGCATATTAATATGTGTGCTTACTTGAACTGCATCAAGGAGGACATTCGGTTTTAGTGAAGAAAATTTCCAAGTTCCCCCTTCTGCAGCTCCACTCCGCTGCATTCTGGTCCTCCACTGATCAAAGCAGTGCAGCAGTGAAGTTTTCTTCTGTTAGTTGTGTCAGAAGCTCCATTGTTTTCTGTCTGATTTGGGGGAAAATAAAAATAAAAAAGCTGCACGGTGCTACATGCAGTCGGGAACAAAAATTTCCATCCACTTGTAAAGACCATGTTGATCATGACAGTCTCTCTGAATTTACTATGATGGAGTCTCTCTGTCACAAAAAACAATCATGCATTTCGGTTCTTTCATAGATTTATTTAAGGTCTGGAAACACAACAAAATCTGCTCAGTCAGAAATATACATAAAGCTACGCAAAGATTTCCTTAAACTTTCTTTTGCTAGTTTGACCTCCATCAGGTTATTTTGGTCTCCGTCCACAAGCTTCTGGTTCATCTTTGACTCTTCTGGACAGGTTTAACTAAACTTGTTGTCTTTCTGACTCAGACTCGTTTCTTCATCAGTCCACAGGTTCTTGATGGTTTAAGCCAGGACTTTGGGGAGACCAGCCCAGAACCCTATTCCAGCCTGGTTGAACCATTTCTTCACCACTTGTAATGCATGTTTGGGCTCATTGTGTTGTTGGAACATCCAACTGTGTCCAAGATCAACCTTCTGATGATGGTATCAGGTTTTCCTGAAGAATGCCCCAGAGCATGATGCTGCCACCTCCATGCTTGATGGTAGGTTTGGTGTTCTTGGGGTTAAAGGCCTCACCTTCTCTCCTCCAGACATGTTTCTGCTCAGTGTTTGTTCCATCTGACCAGAACTTTCCTCCAGAAGGCCTTTTCTTTGTCCATGTGATCAGACTTCAGTGGAGCTTTCAGGTTCTGCTTCTGGAGGAAGAACTTCCTTCTCCATCAGCCTCTCAGCTCATGTTGATGTCAGACCCTGTGGACACTGACAGCTGTGTTCCAGCAGCTTCTGGTCCATCCAGAGCTGCTTCCTGCTGGTTCCTGGTTGACTCTTGACCATCCTGACCAGTCGTCTCTCAGCAGCAGCTGCTAGTTTGTGTTTCCTTCCTGATGGTGGCAGTAACACAACTGGACCATGAACTTTATACTGACGGATCTGAAACTGCTTTGAAGTGGCTTCAAGTGACTTTCTGACTTGTTCAAGTCAATGATTTGCTCCTCAGACTTTCCCTCTGTAGTGTCTGAGTGTACTGAGTGGATCAGATGGTTCTAGTTAAACTGGATCAGAGGAGTCAGCAGCTGGAGTCGATCAGAATCACTCAGGAGACGTTAAGAGGTCATGAAACTAAGAAAATTAGATCAACAGCAGGTGATAGTTTGTGTTTTCTTCCTGATTGTGGCAACAAGTCATAAGTCAGTTGGTCATTTTGTGTCTTTGACGGTGTTTTTCATTGGTTTTTGGTAATTTTTTGTGGCTTTGCTGGTGTTTTGTGTCTCTTGGTGGTCGTTTTGTGTCCACCACAGCTTGAGCAGAGCCCTAAAACAGCAAACCAAAGCAATTCTTCTGCCCTAAAACTCTCAACCAAAAACAAAGAAAACAAACAAAAAAAAACAAAGAAAAAACAGGCCTCTGGCCTAAACTCCTCAACAGAAACAGGAGAAAACTGTGGGAAACAAAAGGGATGCTCTCCCCTCACCACAGCTAATTGTGCTCATATATACAGGTGATTCTTACAGATTACACTGAGCTAACACTTTACTCACCTAATCACACGTATGCTCAGACTAGGCTGGCTTGTTCTTTGACAGTGGAAGAAGGAAGTGCTTCCTCTGTTTATAAAAGGCTGCTCCATCTGCCGGCCCACTCATGGAGCAGCAGTTCCTCAACATCCACCAATCAGAGAGCTCCACCTGTTCTGGCTCCGTTTCCTCCAGCAGACAGACTCACAGACTGAGGCGAGAAGAGAGACGTCTGCCTCATTAACAAACTGACCCAGAGCATGATGCTGCCACCTCCATGCCTGATGGTAGGTTTGGTGTTCTTGGGGTTAAAGGCCTCACCTTCTCTCCTCCAGACATGTTTCTGCTCAGCTTTTGTTCCATCTGACCACAGAACTTTCCTCCAGAAGACCTTTTCTTTGTCCATGTGATCAGACTTCAGTGGAGCTTTAAGTATCAGCCATCGATAAACTGTCTGCCTTTTTTTTTAAATTAAAAACATAAGAATAACCTTTTGTGCAACACTTGAATAATTATATTGATTAACTTCTCATCAATAGCAGGTGACAGCATTATAGGGAATGACTCGCATCGGTGGACAGTTTGCTTTTAAGGGAGATGCAGTGGCAGAATTTAGACTTTATATAATGAAAAAAACTGTTCACACAGATTAATCGAATATTAGAATAGTTGAAGATTAATGTAATCGCTGAAAACTAATCAGTCAACCGACGAATCGTTGCTGCATTCGTGACTATTTCTTCCTGCTTATCTGACTACGAAAAATAGGATTAGTGTTATTTTTACACTGCAGGATGTACAGAAACTTGCTGGTTTACACAAGGCTGGAGATTTGCATTACAAGAGTTTCGCTGACCCGTAGCTGTCGCGTCACGCTCGACTGACGAGAGCACAAACCTGTTGGCTGCTCCTCTTTAAGTTTCACTGGTTGTTGGACAGTTTCATAGTAAATGATTTGTCACATTGCAGCCCACACAGTGTTATGTTCGTGTTTTCCTAAACTCTTACAGCCCTCAACACCCACAAACCATTGTGCAACCCAATTAAAACGAAAGTGACACTCAGGCATTTACACATAACTAATTAACTGTGAACATACCGTCCTCGTGACCGCAACATCAAGGGAAGTTTTATTATGCGCAGGTTGAACATTGTTGTGGTTTCGTTTGAGTATCGCACTGGATTTTTTTTTCGAGCGCAGAAAAACGCACGTGCCAACTCGCACCAGTCGGCTTAAACCAGTCCAAAGTATTTATTAGTCTCCAAACCAACCTTTTAGACGTGCAGGTTTAAAATGTAGGTTTGACCTTCAGACGTTGATGGGGTTTTTTTTTTTGGATGGCGCGGAAGCCAAATCCACCACAAACTGTAACCGAGAAGCTTCCGACAAAGATGGCAGAGGCACTTGTCTGTTTTTTTTAGGTATTTTTTTGGCATCGTTTAGAAAAAATTCCATTGCATCCTTGTAGCGTACCGTAGTTTAAATGGCCTGAGAG